CGTGGTAAGCTCTGGAATCTCATCGAATGGGTGGACTTCGGACCCCAGCACCGCGAATGGGTGGAAGAAGGGGATATTCGGGCCCCTTATCTGCTTCGTGAGTTCCACAGGAAGTTCCCGGCCAAACCGGGAGGTCTCCCGCCCAAACCGGGAGTTCTCCCGACCTGCCCGGGAGACGGTGGTTAATGTGTATTTTTGAGGGGGCAGTATGTCAGCAAGCTGCCATGGTGTTCTGTGTTGCTTGTATCTTTGTACAGTTGCTAACCCCCCCCTGCCTGTGCGCCAGTATTTTACTCTGCTGTAATGCCTAAGCCAAACAACTGGAGGATGTATTGGGGGAGTACGCTTCACTGCCAGCTTGTTGCTTTTAGAGCCTGGGAACTGCACCTGTATTATGTCTGGAGATAGCCTGGTTCTCAGGGAATGAGCGCGCAACCGTTTCCTTTCACCCGCCAGCGGGAAAGTGACCCATTGGTTCTGTACCTGGTTCAAATCCCTTTATTATGCTTGCCCTAACCGGTTGTAGTCAGTTCTAACAAAGAACGTGTTTGAGTGTCTTTCCAACGCTTTGAAATAAATTTTGCTTTTCTTTAAAACGTGGATTTATTCTCGATGCTTGGGGATCCAACAGCTATACAGTTGAAAATGGGGGGGGGGGGGCAGCAGCCTGCCAGGCACATGAAAAACAATTGAGGAAACACATTTTGCCCCTTTTTACCTCCTTCGGGGTCATGTTTCTCAGGAATCTCTTTGTAGTGGGGGTTGACGTCATGGTAGGAATGCACTCCCCTTATTTTGGGTTTCTTGGTGCAGGGGTTTGGCCTGGACATTGAGTTTGGGTGAGGGGGGGTTCCAAGAAATCAGATATTAAGCAAGTTCATATGAACCAATTTTCTAGAACACACATTGTGAGAAGTTAAATAACCTAATAGAGGTGTAGGAGGGGTAGTGTGTCTGAAGACATTGGGGAGGCTGGGCCAGCAGGATTGCTAAAGTTATGCTGCTTGAGCAGCCTCCTTGATGACTTTCAATGCTCTGTCCCTGCTCCTGCACCTGACAGACAACTGCCTGGCAGGTGGAGGAGGGGTGTGTGTGAGTGTGTCTAAAGCCATTGGGGCAGCTGGCCCAGCATCATTGCTAAGGCATTTCTTCTTGGGTGGCCTCCCTGATGGGTTAAAGTACCCTAGCCCTGCTCCTGTACCTGACACCCACCTGTCTGATGTTGGGGGGGAGTGTGTTTAAAGGCATGGGGGGCTGGGCCAGCAGCAGTGCTAAGGCAATCCTGCTAAGCAAGCCTCCTCGATGGCTGTAAGCATCCCACCCCCTCTCCTACACCTGACAGGCAGTTGCCTGTCCAGTGTGGGAGGGGTGAGGGGTACCGCAAGCCATTATGGAGGCTGAGCCAGCAGGATCACTGAGGCATTACTCCTGGGGCAGGCTCCCTGATGGCTTTAAGCACCCTGCACCCACTGCTGTACCTGACAGACAGCTGCCTGTCAGGTGTAAGAGTTGGGGGGGGAGCATGTTTGAAGCCATCAGGGAGGCTGGGCCAGCAGCTTTGCTGCACCTCACAGGTGGTTGACTATTCCTGATTTCCTTAACTGTCATTAGCTCTCTGCAGTCTCCTGTAACAGTTTTTTTAAATCGCAAAACACTGAGCTCTGCAACTGACCGATCAGAGAGTAGAGGGCATGCAAGGAGCCTGGCAGCTGCATAGGAAGCAATGGGTGGAGCACATTTTACACCTTTTGACCTCCTTAGGGTCGAATTTCTAAAAATCCCTTCTTAGTCACCTTCTAGATCATGGTAGGAGTGTTTTCCCTGAATTTCATGTTTCTAGGTCCAGGGGTTTGGCCTGGGCATTGATTTTATGGTGAGGGGACTTTCTTTTTATATATATATATATA